GTTTATGTGTGTATACACATCTTGCCTTCTTTTATTCGCCTTCTGTGTGCCTAAATAACAGTGAAATAGAAATGAAAAAAATTATAAAATATATTGACATATTTCTCTCTCTGTCAGAAAATTCCTCCCTCTCTTTCTCTCTCTCTCTCTCTGCCTGTCTTTCTCTTTATCACTTTGTGATTCAGTGTTATTCATATTGATAATAAAAATAATAATAATAATCTACATTCCGATATACAACATAAAGATACTTGTGAAAAGTGAAAATGAAGAAATTTGTTAATAAAAGTGACAGATAGCTGTTATTTTATTATTATTATTATTATAGTAAGTACAGTACAGCACAGAAAAGGCGAGGAGAGGAGGGCGCAGGACAGAACAGAACAATACACTAGGCATTGTATCCTACCTAGAACTAATATGTCTGTATATATACATATAAAAAAAAGAAACTGTGGTTTAACAAAATTGTATTGTGTCGATTAGAAAACACATTTACATTGGAATCTCTATTGTACACTTACATTTGCTGTTGTATACTGTGTATCAACTCTAGATACGAATATAATGGTGGAAATAGTTATTGAAACATATGTGTGCCTATATTAGAAGTAAATCTGATCAGTAGACAATTTCTTTGTTTTGACATTGAACTAATGAAATTAACTAAACTAATTGCTGCTATTATTATTATTATTATTGTCGTTAAAATTGTAATGACTTTATCCCGTTGAACTGAATCCCTCCCACTAGTTTTCATAAATAATTCAGATCATTAGAGGAGTCAGTGGGAATAATTATAACTGTCTATTCTTTTGTTATAGCGTCTTTGAAATAGTGCCATGTGGTGATTGTATTTTATTAATTTATTGGGTTAGAATTCATCCCTAATCCTCCATTATTATTGCTAACGCGAATTGATAGAAGTTAGAATTTATGGGACATTGGATTCCAGGCCAAGTAGCTGAATGGTCAACGACATCGCTTTTTCACCTGAAGGTCTTGCATGTGTTCCCCGGTTATGTTCGTGTGGTCTTATCGCTAAAAAGTCCCAAACGAAGACGATACAACTGTCTGGTACTTCCTGGTGGTTCTGCAATTGACATCAATACCTTGATCAAATTTAAAATAACTGAATATCCGTTTGTTTTTATCGTCTTTGAAATACTGCCATGCGGTGTCTATGCTTTATTAATTTACTGGGTTGGAATTCACCCTCTAATTCAATATTATTGCTGTTATTGCTATTACTATAATTCATGTTAACAGTATGTGTTTAGTTACTATTTTTTCAAACTAATTTGTCTTATAGATAATAAATTCTCACTACAGCATCGTTTTCTTGCTGAAAGTAGTGGCTTTTTGTGTATCGCGCCGGATTAATGGTCTAAGTTGTAGAGGATAATACTAATATTTGTGATCATGATGCCCACTTAATGATAAGTCGTATTCTAAACTCAAATATAAAAAAGAATCATAAACAATTTTCAGACAAAACACGAAGTACACATACACATTATGTACTTGTTGCGTACTTGGTCCATCTATCAAGTCTAACATGTCATCAAACTGACAATTTGCAAGCTAACTCGCTATCTACAATTTGCACAGTTCGAAGAGGTGAAACGTCACCACAATATGAGCACTTGTATATCAAGTATGCTTATTTTACTTCATCGAAATATTCTCTAACTGAAGTAAGACTAAAGTGCATCGGTGGCACAGCGGTTAGGACGCTCGATGACCATGCAAATGGTCCGAGGTTCGATCCCCAGCCGATGCACTCTAATCCCTATTCCCCTAAACAAACCAAACCAAAACAAATTACTTTCGGTAACCTCTACTTCCGTCTACGCGTTAGTAACAAACAGTAGTAAATAGTTTCGTGTTATTTTTCAGCACAACCAAAGATAATTATTTTATCCAAAAGTCATCATTAAAATTGCTCAACAGAATTTATAAAATAATGAAATTTGATGCTTATATTCAAGTGGTGTGGTGATTAAATAGTTTTTGAGTTTTTTAAAAGTTTCGTATGAAAACACTTTTTTGAGAAATATGAGTCATGTAGCAACAGACAAAATAAATAGTAAATAACTTTTTTTTTAGATAATGTAGAGTACAGTATGCGTAAGAGATTCGAACTTAGTTATCATATTCTGTTGCTGAGTAGACGGTTTAAAATAGCTTACACCGTTAACCACAAATTTTTCTCGTGATCATATTGGTAACTAGATTTTCAATTTGGTTTTTTCGTAATGTCAATAAGAGGTGGCTCTCGTGGCCCAAGTGGTCTAGTGGATAACGCTTTGGCGTTTGAAACTATGGGTACTGGGTTCGAGCCTCAGTGGGAACATCATCACTCACTGAGAAATGCAGGTACATCCAGCTGACGAGTCCCAAATAGGACGAAATGCGCATCCTGGATTCCACTGCTAGCCACCATCCACCAATTGTCAATAATTAGGATTTGAAATTATAATAGAATAAAAGTTACGCAAATATTATTATTATTATCGATGATAATAGTTCGTTCAGTATATGCAATTCGAATCCTAGATTGAAGTTATAATCTAGGGTCTACTATGAATCAAATTAAAGGTTATCAACACCTTCCTTATTCTCAGTCATTGCAATATGAAAAACTCTAAATTTTTGTAGAAAAAAAAACCCGGATTTCTGTATGATAGGCATTCGCATGACAAGACAGTGCTTGAAGAAGTACCTTTTGTAAATTTATTTCTTTATGACTGACGAAATATATACGTGTGTAGTAAACTGACTACACTGTTTTCAACATTAACTGATCAATTTCCTCAAATGTAGGTTGTCTCAACAATAATCAACAAGAGCTAAATTTCATACTAACGAAATTACTGTCCAGTGTTTGTTGTGATTTACTTGGTTGGCTTCCAGGTGGAATATAGAGCTTGAGCAGTACATCTCCATTTCAACTTTTCTTCTGCAGTCCTTTTTGGCTGACTCCGCAACTGCTTTATAAGCTCTCATCTCACCTACAGACTCATCCTGGCTCGGCGTTTTCCATTCATGTTCCATCTGACGGCCTGGCAAGTGATGTCGATCAGTGGTATATTCAGCGTATGACGAATCCATCTGCATTTATTTCTGTATATTTCTTGAGCAATAGGTTCTTGATTGGCTCATTATCTGCCAGAATTCCTTCTTGCTAATCGTTACTGTCCGGTCATTTGATTTTCAGTATGAGGGCAGTGAAGACATCTGTTGACTAAATTCTGTACACTGTTATAAACGCTCTTAGCGACGTGTGGGCCAAGTTCCTAACCCATATAGAAGCACTGACTGGCTTAAAATTGGTGTTAAAAATCCGAACTTTATTCTCTGGGCTGAGTGCAGCAGATCTCCAAACTGATTTTAGAGTGATGAAGGTGTATCTCGCGTTTGCAATTGCGGTTTCGACATTGTCATAACTGTAGTGAATTAAATGAAGACGTTTTCACCTTGCTCTGTCTGCGCCTGAACTAATCTGCCTATCTGCTTGTCGTACCTTCCGATTTAGTAAAGCACGCAAATATCAAAAGACAAAGGCTGGACTGTGACTGTGTATTGAAGTGCAACAACGACAAAGAAAGCCATGGTATTTATACATTTTACAACAATATGGACAGCTAACAGCATTTGAAATAATTGATTTTAATAGCCATATGTGCGAGATTGACAGTCAATAACAAAATGTGTGGGAATGATAATATACCATATATACAAGATTAACAGTCACTACCAAAATGTGTGAGAATGATAATATACCATATATACAAGATTAACAGTCAATACCAAAATGTGTGAGAATGATAACATACCATATATGCAAGATTAAACAGTCAATACCAAAATATGTGGGATCCTATCACCTCTCCCCGTAAAGAGTGTAGGACTTGCTTTTTGGATCTATTTGAAAAGGTTTCGGAGCTCTTCTTTGTCGAGTTGACCTTTGCGTGGTACTGGATAGAGCGTGATCTGTGTGTCTGACACATAACTGTCCTTTTTCATTCGTACGATAATGCAGCAAGAATTTATCCAAAATTTCTTCTGTTGTTCCCTCCCCCTTCGCTTTTGCATAAGCACGCTTAAAGGTGTCGACGAAACGTTCAGTCTGTCCATTCGATTGGGGATGATACGGGGGGCTACGAATATGCTGGATGCCAAACAGTTTGCAGCAACCAAGTTTGTCCTGGAAGACAGAAGCGTGCTTTTGACGACGGCGTTGCAAGAGAGATTGATCAGATACATCTCCGGGAACAACGTTGTGTGGTGAAGACGAAACATTAGAGCATACTGAATTTAATGGTACATTAAAGATATGGAGCTTGTCTAACCAGTCAAGACCAAGCAAATTCAAATCATGGTAGTTTGTAACGTAACATACACCATTGAAGTGATGCTCACCAAACTGAACCTGGCAATTTATCTCACCCACGAGTTTCAGTATATCTCCAGAGACATTCTTGGCGACATGCTCGGTCGGCAGAATCTGTGGGCAACCAAGTTTGCGCCACGTAGTTCGGGAAATTACGGTGATATCTGATGCCGTATCCAACTGAAGACGAATACGTTTGCCGTTAATATCTAGTGTTATGTACTTACGTTTGCTGGCGAACTCGACTTTGGAAGTTGTATAAACGGTCTGTACTCGAGGAGATTGTTTCGGCTTGAAACGACTACTTCTGTTCCTCACCGAAGAATTTTTCTGCGGTGTACAGTAACCCTCCTTATGTCCAAAACGGTGACAATTACGGCATTTATGCTTCTTGAAAGGACAGAACTTGACAAAATGCCACGAACCACAGTGCCAGCACACTGAAGGAGGTTTAGCTGAATTTTGAGACTGACGTTCTGTGTGCTTAACGGTGATCGGAGGACTTTTCACTGTGTTAATCGAACCAAATTCAGACGACTGTCGTTTGCACTCCACCATAGCAGTATCGTGCTTCAAGTTGATTAAACGTAGGCATTCTGCTGTCACCATTTGTAAAGTCATTTTCGGGTCTTGTTCCACGAGTGACAGAAGTCGAGTTCGTATGTCAGTATCTTCTGGGTTCTTCAACCCACAAATAAAAATCAAACACTTGAACTGATCTGATGTCATTTCGTGTGGTTTGAACCTTTCACATTCCTTGTTCACTTTGCCAGCGTAAGTGACATAATCATCGGAAGGCATTTTTGTCAACTGAAAACATTGATACCGAATATTAAACATGGATGACTGTTCACCAAAGATTTGTGATAAAACGGTGACTGTCTCATCGAATGATAACTCACGTGGGTTCTTAGGCAGAATGAAGTTAACATATCTGTTGTGCTCAACAGTACCAAGTTTTCTTAGTAACAATCGGACTTTGGCAGCATCATCAAACATGTAGCATTCAATACGGAAAACGTCTTCGTAACGATTGAACCATGCATCAAATACGAGACCAGATATTGGGTCGTAGTTGAACTCACTGATGGAATTTGAGATGCTTTCATATTTGTCAGAATGAGATGTTGATGGAACTTGAATGGACAGCTTCTGAGTGAGAGCTTCGATTAATTTTAGTTGAGCTGCTTCATTCTGAACTTGCTGCTGCTGCAAGATAGATTTGAGATCGTCCAGAGAGATAGACATTGTAATTGGGTTGTAATTAACACAGTCAAAAATGTTATATAGCTGCGCTGAACAGAATAAAAACTGTCGTCGTTTGCTTGCTATAACTGCAATGAATTAAGGTAAAACCCCGTCGCCAATTTGTTATAACTGTAGGGAATTGAATGAAGACGTTTTCACCTTGCTCTGTCTGCGCCTGAACTAATCTGCCTATCTGCTTGTCGTACCTTCCGATTTAGTAAAGCACGCAAATATCAAAAGACAAAGGCTGGACTGTGACTGTGTATTGAAGTGCAACAACGACAAAGAAAGCCATGGTATTTATACATTTTACAACAATATGGACAGCTAACAGCATTTGAAATAATTGATTTTAATAGCCAATAACAAGTGCGTGAGAGATGATAATATAACCATATGTGCGAGATTGACAGTCAATAACAAAATGTGTGGGAATGATAATATACCATATATACAAGATTAACAGTCACTACCAAAATGTGTGAGAATGATAATATACCATATATACAAGATTAACAGTAAATACCAAAATGTGTGAGAATGATAACATACCATATATGCAAGATTAAACAGTCAATACCAAAATATGTGGGATCCTATCAGACATCCTCGTCTAGACAGGCTGTTCTCAGTTGGAATGATGCTTCCTAGATAAGTGAAGGAAGTGACCTCGTTGAAAGTTTCCCCACTGGTAGTGATTGGTGCTTTTCTTCTTTATGCTAACTTGGAGTCTTGTCTTTACTGCCTCTTCTGCAAGTTTGTTAGTAAGCCTTTGAATTTGTGTGACAGTAGACATAAGCCTTTCGTGAAGTTCATATTTTCTGTTCTTCTTGTTGGCTCAACGTATTCCTGTCTTCTTGTTCCTCACGTATGATGTTCCGCATGATAGTAAGCAGTTTTGTCTTACTCCCATCTTCACTTCAAAGGCTTCACTGGGTTTTATGTTGTGGATTGCTTGAAATTTGGTATTGCATATGGCTACTGAGCTTATCTTAATCGGAACTAGTCTTCAGTGGGTCAATCAAATATTGATGAAAAACACATTATTTATCACTTAAGCGATGACCATTTTCACTATGGCAAACATTATTCATTGTGAAAGGAGGCTTCAAAGCTGATTTTCAAAAGCCACGTCTCTCTCCCAGGTTATTTCAATACTCTAACTGCAGTATACCATTCTTTTTATGCTAAATGGTATTTCGTGTAAGCATTTGAATCAAGCTAACAGTTTTTAAAACAACCATCATCTACGTTTCCATAGTTTTTATATAAACTGTTGGAATATGAGATATATCATTTATACTATTAATTACAGGTTCGGTCATGAGCTGACATCAGTTAGAGACTCACTGAAGAATCAGGGAGTACTGGACAGCCCTTTCATCCTAGTTTGGGACTCATAACAGTACGCACCCATCAGGACTGAAACCTAGGACTTTTCTGGATATAAGGTGAGTTCGTAGACCATTCAGCTACTGGCTGATAACTTGGCTTGAATCATTCTACAACTCAGACTTAACTAAATCAAAAAGTATAACTGTTTTAGACGTCAAATTTAGTAATGTCGCAATATCTTGTAGAACTACAACTGAATTAAAGGTTATTATGCGTAAGAGCAAATGAACATCAACATCACTAAATATACTATCATTTACAGTATCTAAATTATTAGGAAGACATTCGAGTATTGGTTTGTTGGGATTCGATTGATTGGTTACAGAATTTCATCATGAGCTGACATCGGTTAGAGAACCCTTGGAAAACCTGTGAGTACTGGAAACGTGTTGCGTTCCAGTTTGGGACTGTTCAACAGTACGCACCAGTCATCACGGTTTGAGCCCAGGACCTTCTGGCTAGCAAGCGAGCTCGTAGACCATTATGCCACTGGGACCCGATCCAGCTCATGAATTCTAACTTCTGCCAATTCACGACATAGCGCGACCCCAGCCAATGTCTTCGGCGAGTATTTGTCTTCACACCCAACCTGCTGCACTCTACTCCTTACAACTTCCCATTAGAGCCCAGACCAGTCGCCAGTGAGCACCTCATTGATATTTGTGTATTCGGCAGACAACCGTAGAGTTAGATATTATTCGGCACAGTAAATATATAGGCTGAGATAGTATCATTATTACAATAATTATACATAATGTCTTGTTAAAATTACTAATATTAACTAACAGAATGGTCAGTCACTGTTAAATAAAAAGAAAGATCCACTTACACATGAAAAGTCTTCCTTATTCTATGCATTTTCACAAAACAAGTACTTGTAGCTAGCGAAATTACTGAAGGTTTCTTTGTTAGTAAAGGATAAATAACTTTCGGAGAATTGTAAACTGATTCAAAGCATTCTGAGAAGAAACAGACATTAAGCAACTGACCTCATCTGATGACAATTCCATTTTCATCTGCTGGATACATGACATTTTCAGAAACATGACCAGGTCAGATTTAAGATTGTCAGCCTTACAGTTTTATCTGATCTATTACTTTTCAACTTTGGTGACATAGTTAACAGACAAATGTTTTTTTTTAAATACCATGTATGACAGTAACTTTCAATGCCTCTGATAATTGAAATATATTTAGTATATGGTGTATCTTAAGACTAAAAATCAGAGTTAACCAGTGACATAAGTGATCGACCCTTAAAGCAATGAAATAAATATTGTAGATACCGATGATATACCTGATTTTAATATACTGGATCATGTAGTAGACAGTGGGAAGAGAAGGAAACAGGAATAAGTTGGGCTGACAAGAACAGTTTAGAAGGTAATAACTTCGTGAATGACTAATGTCGGATGTCACACAAACTTGAAGACTTACAGGCGAAAACTTATGAGCTTTCAGAGGGGTCAAACACTGAAGAGTGGATTTCAAGTGAATATACAGAAAGCACAGGTAGTGAAGATATCCAGCAACCAAAAAAAAAAGCACCAATCACTATCGACAGCAGAAGTTTGAAGAGCGTTATTCCTTGCACTTATCCAGGTAGCATCGTTTCAACTACAGATGGCTTGAATGAGGATGCCAAAGCAAATATAAAAAAGGCAAGACAGATATTCATTAATCTGTAATCAGTTTGGAAATCTACTGCACTCTGCATACAGGATGAGATTCGGATTTCCAAAATTGACATCAAGTAATTCAGTGTGCTTCGGAGACTTGGTCCACGCTTCAGTAAAGGCATTTCCAACATCCCATTGCAGAATTTAATCAACAGCTTCCTTCACTAGCTTCATACTGAAGATCAAATGGTCGACCAGGAATGATTAACAGCAAGGAACTCTGGAAAACAGCCTAACAAATATGCCGGAGAAAGTGGAGATGAATAGGACACGCACCCTGAATAATATCGCTCTCTTGACAATCCCTTTGATGGGAAAAGATGGGTTGCACTTGGGTCCAAGGATAAAATGGAGGAAATGATAGCTTATGCTGAGTCATGGAGGCACTAGAAGACAACTGAAGAGAACAGGGTGAAATGAAAATGTACTGTTAGAGCCCTATGTTCCGATGTGAACCCAAGGTAAGAATAATCTTATAATATATTCTGTTTAAACAGGATTGTCCAGGAAGCATTATTATTATTATTATTATTATTATTATCATAACTCATTACTCAATGTTATTTACTGTCTCGGTAGTGACGCTTAATGACACAGCATATTTAAATCTAGTTGTCAGGACCTTCTAAAGAATTCGCGACAGACATTTTCGTAGGTAAATAAAATCTGGGTTCAAGGAGTTTCGTATTCATTTACTTTTAGTCTAAATTGTTACTTGAAATGATATTCTCTCTAAATGTAATGAATAGCAGTATGAACACAGACTGGCATAATTCATAATAACAGTATTAATGTGGGAGTTTTGATTTCATGCTGTTAAACAAAACACATTTGGACAGCATTACCAGTTTGATGATTATGGTTATTGCTATTATCTATAATCTAAAACTATTACTAGTATTTATGATGCGGAAATTACGATTATTGCGTCTTGTGTATCTTATTACGTTTTGTATGATGGAGATCACTCACTTTCTCTCTCTCTCTCTCTCCTGATCGTTTGAATGAAGCCATTCTATTTTAGGTATTCACAGGTGAAACCAATCCGTTAAAAATGTTATTAAGCAAATATGCATTTTTATTATCTTAAAGCTGTAATACTAATTGCAATCAGACGTAAGACTTCCAGTAGTTTAATTCCAAAGTATTAGTCTCAGTATCGTATGGCTAAATAAGAAATTAATATCATTTCTGTTTAAAGATGTACAGGAAGGATCATTTATGCATATATGATAATTTAGTTTGTCTCATTATGCATGAATAGAGCTGATTTATTACTATTGGTAACACTTGTATTCATAATTATATATATATATATATATATATATATATATATTTCCTGCTGAGTTAAATTAAAGATCATCTTTGCAATGTTCATAAGAAATTCACAACTGAAGGAAATTCTGTTAAAGAATAAAGCCATTCTGTGATTTATATGGGTGTAACACTCGATTCAGCACTAGTAACACTCAGCATCAAAAATAAGATCCGGATTTTCAACTCCAATGTAAAGTCAGGCTACTATACGGATCAGAGACTTGGCGAGTCATAAAGAGCATCTCAAACAAACTTCAGACCTTCATTAACAGCTGTCTCCGCTCAATACTCAAGATCAGATGGCCAGAAAAGATCAGCAACAGGGATCTCTAGGAGCGAACCAATCAGGAACCGATTGTGAAACAAATAGGCAGAAAGAAATGGAGATGGATTGGCTGGGCATACGCTGAGGAAACCATCAAGTGACATCACTAGACAAGCCATTGCTCGAGTGGAACCCGAAAGGGAGGCGGCGAGTTGGTCGTCCAAGGGTGACTTGGAGGAAGTCATGCGAGGAGGAGATGAAAGCATGTGGACAGACCTGGAGCAGAGTGAAAAAGTTGTCAGAAAACCGAAGGTAATGGAGGTGCTCAGCTGAAGCCCTATGTTCCTCTAGGAACTAAAGGATACAATAATAATAATAACACTCGATTTAAAAATTTACTTTTCTCACTTCTGTTTTTGATATAGTTGTGTTCTCAGAGCTGGATGGTTCATTTGCGAAGCTTTCATTGCCCTACTAGACAACATCTTCAGGGCATACTTTAATTTGAAGCTCAGAGAACACAGTTATATTAAAATCATCCACCTAAGCAACAAATCTTCTCCATCTCACTTCTGTGTATAATTTTGCTCAGATGCATGTACACCTCTGAATTCGCATGGAAAAACTGCCTTAAGTGATGCATGGATTGATGTAATTACTTTAAAACGACGAGATATTGTGTTTCACTGTTTCTACATTATAGGTATCTTTTCGTTGAATATAATGGGACTACCTCTTGTTTGATACGTCCCGTTAATTTATGCCGTTTAGTTATTTTATACTACTACTTCAAGTCGCATCATGTAACAATTGATCTAGCTGTTATGCTTGTTGATAGTTATCATCCACAACAACATATTTAGATATATATCACACTCTAAAGCTATCTTCCAGATGTGATTCGGTAGATGGTGACTAGCAGCAGAGTTCAGACTACTCATTTCGTCCTGTTTGGGACTATTCAGCTAGATAAACCTACATTCCCAGTGGGTGATTATGGTCCTGTTGAGATTCTAAGCCGATATCCATCGTTTCAAACGCCAAAGTTTGGCCTGCTAGGCCGCATGGCTTACGATAGACACTTGTTGTACAACGGGCATTATTTGTTTCAAAGTCAATTCTGGTTTTCGCGTTGATTGATTAGACGAAGATTTTTGGCCTCTGCTAACATGTCCACTTCTGATACGGACACTTCGACGATAACTGAGAATTAACTTAAAATAGTTTAATAGATGGTTGCTAGCAGTGGAATCCAGGATCCGAGTTTCGGGGTCATCACTTGGATGTACCTGAATTCCCCAATGTGATGGTGTTCTCAATAAGACTCGACGCCAGTGACTATCTTTTCAAATACCAAAGTGTTGTCCACTAGACCACTCAGCTCACGAAAGTCACCTCTTGTGCAACTCTTGAAGTTTGAAACGGTTGGTGTTGGGTTCTTGTCTCCTCGGGAACACCATGACTCACGGGGGATCGTAGGTAGACTCGACTGACAAAATTCTAAATAGCTCGAAGTAAGCACCCTGCTTTCCACCACTAGTTACCATCCATCTTCAGACATCGTTGATTCGTTCTTACTAGAAGCCGACATGTCAGAATAGGTTGAAGGACTACCTTAAAGATTTTGAATAATGTCATTAGAAGTCTTATCATTAATAAAGACAACTTGATTGAGACATGTATTTCTTAAGTTAAAATCCACAGTAGGATACAATAAAAGAGCGAAGAAATCAAAGCTAAAAATAGAGTGATACGTTATTTATATAACTCCATAGCGAATTGACCTTCAGTTGAACTTGTCCCAGACGACAAGGTAACCACACGTTTTTCAGTGAGTCACAGATTAACAAAGTTAGAATTCAAAAGTCATTGAATTCCTGCTCAAGTGGCTGAATGGGTAGTGAGCTTGGTTTCATTTTCCGAAAGTCCCAGGTTCAATCCCTGGTGGGATTCATGAATGCTCCCTGCTGAAAAGTCCGAAACTAGGATGAAGCAACTGTCCATTGATCCCTGGTCATCAGTGATCTCTCTAACTAAATGTTGTTGGTTATGACAAAATCCCACAGCTGAAATTTCAGTAAATTCTCCTACTGTCTTGAACTTTTTTGACTTTCCCGTCGATTGATTGGACCGAAGTGCTCGGTCTCAGGTTGATTCCACTGCTAACCACCATCCACCAATTGTCTCCTACTGTCTCTCTCTCTCTCCTGTCTGTTACTTTTCTTTTCATCTATGCATCTGTTCACTCATCTGTCCATTTGATAGTTTTCTCTTCGACCAAATTTTTTTCTTTAAATTCTCCTAAAACATAAAATGTGGACTTTATTTATTTACTGTCAGAGACAAGTCAAGCATTCATTTCCACTCTCTTTTTCTTACCCCATAGAAAAAGTCTTTTTTTTTCGTAACAAACATACATATTTTGACAGTTAAGTTAAGAATTTTGGGATAGAAAAATGCTATTTACATTTAACCAATAGAATATAAATAAACACAGAAAATTAGATCAAATTTTGACTTTGTTTGCATGCAGAAGCACTTTGTCCAGCGTAGCCTAGAAAATCTTCCCCTTTCTATCCTTTCACTGTACAGACAGAAAATACCAGTGAGAGGAGAGGCTACTTTTAAAAGTTTATTTCTCTACCCTTTTTTATTGTTGGTAGTTTCATGTTGTGTTTAACTTTTCTCCCAAAACATTATTGCACACAGGAGAGGAGAGAGAGAGAGAGGAGAAAAGGGCACTTCACTACATTAACAAAAAAAATAAATGACTACGAGTATTTTATAATTGATTTCCCATTGGTTAGGAAGATACTTCACACTGAAGCAGAATAGAACTTTTCCTTCCTCCGTTAGAAATCATTTCATTAATAATTAGCTTCCTGTCCATCAAACGTTAGACAAAAATTAACGTATAAATATAACATAATAAATACACTTTATTATATATATATACTTAAAGATTTATAGAAATTGTAAATTATAAATCTAAAGTATGCAAAGGATGTCATACAAGCCACAATTACAACAATCATCTGGACCTACTGGATTTATTAGTAATTTCAGTATACAATCTATGCTGAATTTATCCGATGAACAAGACACCAATGAAATTATCACTCAGAATGATGTTATAAAAGAAAATATGACAAATGATCTATCATTTTTCAATTCATATAATTCCTCCTCTGAAATGACTACCTCCTCAATGACTACTATTCAACAAAAACCCTGGAAACAAAATGACTTCAGTAAAAATAGACAGAACATTAAAGCTGATGATATTTTTCATAATTATCCTTCTCATCATCATCATCATCAATTTGATCATGGATCACCAAGTTCTTCTACATGGAATAATTCTTTCAATTCAAATGACAATATAATCACATCGATGTCATCAATTTCTTCAAGATATTCAACTAATCCAATGAGATTATTACCATCACCACAAGGAATTATCGATGAAAATGCTGAATGATGAAAATGTCAACCATCGTCATCATCATCATCATTCATCAGTAATGACTAATTTCACACTGCCTGAAGATACATCAAATTATCATTCAACAAGTGATTCTCAATCAGTAAGTCCATTAACTCCACAATCTATGTGTCATTCATTATCTGAAACAATATTGTCGAACAGGGCTTTAACTAGTTCACCGATACATGAAAAACGTAAAGTTAATGATGATAACAATAACGATAACAATAAGAATGATCCTGATATAAATCATTTTGATGATATCAAGGAACACTTTGAAAATAATGCCACTAAACGACGATGTCTTGAACGAAGCAGTGACAAAAGTATTGCTGGTGAAGATGATAGTGATGAAGTAGAGGAAAGTAGCCAAGAAGAAGAAGAAGAAGAGGAGCCAGCAGAAAATGAAGAAGAGTGTAAAAGTCAGGAAGAGAAAGAGTACAATGAAAATGATAATGATCTCCAATCGAAGTCAAGTAAAACAAAGGGTAATTCTGAATCAGATAAACCTCCATTCAGTTACAATGCGTTAATTATGATGGCTATTAGAAGTAGCTCAGAGAAACGTTTAACACTAAATGGTATTTATGATTTTATTACAACCAACTTCCCATATTATAAAAATAATAAACAAGGTTGGCAAAATTCTATCAGGCATAATTTATCGCTGAATAAATGTTTTGTTAAAGTTCCACGTGCTTATGATGATCCTGGTAAAGGTAATTATTGGATGCTTGATCCATCATGTGAAGATGTATATATCGGTGGGACGACGGGAAAGTTGAGACGTCGAACAAATTCATTACAACGTAGTCGGCTGTTTAATTTACGTTTAGCTAGTTATTATGCATCATTAGCTAGAACTTATGCAATGCCACCCAATGGTGAACAGTTTCCATCAAATCCTTTCTTAATGTTCCCTCATCATCCTCATCACCCTATGATGACTGATAAATCTCAGTTTATTCCAAGCAGCAATAGTAACGGTAGTATAAATTCATTTCATCCCCCAACAAATTATGTACCATCATTTTTGGATGCTTTTAATCGTATCCCCAATGAACAAGGATCACCTTTTCCAAATCCTTTTATTCATTCTACTTATGAAAATTTACCTTTCCATAAGACATGTCTACCAAATAACTGTGAACCAGCCTCAGATGAATTAAATATGCATCAATCAAATGTACACAAATATAATCCTCTATTAAGTCATTTGTCTCAACCACCATCTTCATCGTCAACATCTTCACTATCACCGCCATCATTCTATCCTACCTCACATGGAGTACTTCATCAGTTTAATTCCTATCCTAATACACTATTTAATCATGAATGTGAAGAAGATAAATTCCCAGAAAAACAATGGCTTTCAGGAAATCTCAGATTAGATTGTCCAGATTCTACAATATGGAATCAATCAAAACTACACAACAGTTGTTTACCAATCAGTAAACAGTCAACATATACATCTTCAACAAAGAAAACTTCACTCTCAGATCCAATTTTAAAGATGATGATGACAACTGGTCTGGAACAGCAAAAAGTACATGAAAATTCTGAACAAAAACTTCATGAATCTATGGATTTATTATTAGGTATGTATGGATCACTTTTTAACACGCATAATAGTATAATAAGTCGTACAAATAATTCCAATCATAGTAAGAATAACAAAGATATTGATTTGAATTATAACTTACCTTTAAGTGCAAGGAAAGTGTGAGTTATTTATGCTTTACTTATGATTGTGATTGCATATATAATAACTTGAAGACAATTTAACCTTCATATCTATATGAGACATTATTATCATTATCTGTTTTCTAATATCAATTACTAGTACAATTATTGGTACAATGAATCAAGTTAAGGTACACATTTCTGTATTCACACTCATTTAATCCTTATAATAATTAATGACGAGTTCAGTTAATGTAATGAATGATGCAATGATGATAGATTCACTCACTATATGTAAGTAAATTGATTGTAAACATTTGATGATGATTGTATATCTTCTTCTTTTTCTCTTTTGGTTTCCTCTCTTTTTGTCCCTTTTTTTACCCTTTATAACTAGTCATTTATATAATATCTGTAAATTTCTGATATGTATACACATTTCGATCTCAGAGTTACTATGTATAACTAACTATATACTCAAGTATATTATCTTTCTGTTCAAATGACGCTATTCAAGTACTCTTATTTTCGATTCATTTATTATTTTTAATTATTTTATAGTGTAAATAATAAATATAGGTTTCATTTAAAATATATATTTTAAAAAAAACAAGTTAATAACGTGTATGTGATTGTAGTAATTTATTTTATATATTTTGGAACTCACTACTGATGTGGAAGCTATTTGCTTACGAATAATGATAATACTTGAAGTAAGGTTTGACGTTCCAAGTGGAACATAAGGCTTCAAGATAAAGCTTTGAAGTTCGGGTAGTAGTCGTTTCATTTTTACGGGGTGGGGTTAATAGCTTTATGCCCAACCTTTCCTATTTACCGATCTTACTACCAACTTAGCCAGGTTTTTACGGTACATCGGTCGAGGGTTGATCCCAGGACCACGTGCGTCGTTGGCGAGCGTTCTACCGCTGAACTACAGACGCATGCCAGTTATTTGTTACTGAAACATATGGATGTACTAAGAGAAATGCTGTTATTTAGCGAGAAAAGCTATTTCCTATCACAATAAATAATCCTTTACGGGTCTATACTAAAACAGATGCGAGGTGTTGCTTGATTTTGCCATTTCCTCCGGCTGACATTGGTTTATGATGGAATCTGTGCTGTAATAGTCTTAGGTTTTAAAAGTTCTACGTGTAACAACTTACTATTATTCTTTAATAATAGATTTTGACATGTAAAGTTGATCCTCTATGTTTTTTTAAATTCTTCCCTGTTTGCATTTAAGTGAATTGATACCTGAATAATTATTATAAAACTCTAGACAACAGTGCCTTGTGATGAGTACTCCTCTTAAACTGATCAGTTCGTTACAATGGACTTGACGACAAATAAACAACGCTATAATCACTTCACAGAGTTTTAGACCATTACAAAAAACTTAACAGTAAAAACTCTCACGTCAATCTGTCGACAACAAAGAAAACTAATCATATCCCACGAGATAAAATACTCTGTATAATAAGCGTTACGCAATTAAAGGAATAGGCTCATGGGTACTGATGCATGTAACAGTTTAAAGAGATATGTAATAGTATTTAAAATCTAAGGCTACACGTCTTCTTGATTTTCTAATTATTTTATGTTTAATCAGCCTATTTCCTCTAGTGAACTTGTCACGTAATTCTACAATTTTTTACTTTCCGTAGTTGTAGTTGTAGTACAGTTGTATGTTGCAGCATATAACTACTCATTCTAGCTTGACTATCACTATCAGGGATACGAAAACACCATTTTATTTAAAATTCATGATGCAAAAAGTCGTTGCTCAATAAAGCCGAATGAATAAAATTTCAAGTATTGGTTTTGTAGGGATTTTGTTTGATTGCATGGAGGATGGGTGGATGCTTACTACTGGAGGCCCCAAACTAGGATGAAACACCTGTCCAGTACTCCCAGGTTTTCCAGTGGTTCTCTAACTGATGTCAGCTCATGATGAAATCCTCCAACGAATTTAGAAAAGTCTATAAACTAATGACAAACAGGTATTCAATACTTTTGGGTTCCTAGTAGTTCCATACCTGGTTTTAACTCTTGATAATTATCATTAAATCCTTTATAGAATGTTTAGTTATGCATCCGAATGATAAGATGTTCAGAAAAATTGGTTCAACATCAACGCTCAGATAACTGAAGCGTGTTGAAGTACAGTATGCCACTCACAATAGGAAAGATGAAGTTGTCAACCCATAATTGCATTTATAATAATTATTATACAACTGAGAAAAGCTTTTCCACTTTCTAGTCAGTAAGAACGTTTCTTTGAATGTATAATACTATTTGTTATCAGGAAAGAATCTACCTGTGAAATCTCCGTAATGTCCAGTGTCTACAACCAGGGAGGAAAATCCTTACATCAAAGATGACATAATTATTAAAACCCTAATCAGCAGACCCATAACCAAAAGGAAGTTCAGCAGTTTAATACGTTTGATATATACTTTCCAAAATTCTCTACTCAAGACCGAGTTTATCTAAAAAGAGTAGTTGGTATATTTGCGCAATACACTGTGAATATTGTGATCACATATCTGACTGTCATTTCGAATTATGTGAAAATAAAGAAATGTAAGGTCAATTAGAGTATGGATAATAATATGGGAATTAAGAGTAGAGAGGATGGTGACTAACACCATATTTGGCAATCTAATTAGATAAGGATCACCAAGGTAGGTTACGTGTAGTAATAAATTGTCTTTTGCACCCATAATAGAGGCTTAGTTTGGCATTTTTTGACCTGAGCATAGTTCAGTATGTGCCACTAAAGGTTTCGGTCTATAGTTATGAAGAGTGTTTTAACAACGATCTCATGACTCGTGTCAACAATATGAATGACGTTGATTGTCTGCCATCTGTACTTATCGAGGTATTGGAATTTAGGTATTTTTAGATGACTGCTCTCCATCTTCATTTACAAAGACCGATTACTACACATGTAGGGGATGTGGCGCAATCATCATTGAAATGTTGAGGTTTTTACTAGAGCAAGTCTTTGGCTTTTTCATCAATGGTAGATTGGATTGCATAGTGTCACAAAATCATGCTACTAATGTTCGTAGTTTAATTTAAAGATTCTTTTTTGAAACAGAGTAAACTGTAGTTGTTAAAGTGTTAATTGTCCTTTACAGCAGTTTAAAAACTTCCAAAGACGTCTGTTTTCTCAAAAGTGTATTAGTTAATATTTTGTTGTTATCATCCGTATCCTATCAAAGAAACATTTTACCAAACCTCTCTTGTAATGTATGGAATAGAAACTAGGACAATTTGAACACTGTTCTGTCCAGGTAGACTTTCCAAAGATTGATCGTTTTACTGAGTTATCTTCTTTTCGACTTAAAAGTATCCCTGATTAGGCTAACTGATTACACCTTTCTTCATCATATATAAGGCTGATAGGACTTTGTACAGAATTACGTCTCTCCAGTAGATATACTATAGTGATTAAACCAAAATAGCTTCTCTACCAAGTGGCCTCAGCAGTCAAAACACTACACAGATTTCCACCATTTCATTGGTACGTATCAAACAGTAATGATGTTGATAAACTCTTCATAACAACACCTTCCATTCGTCGAATGTGATCACCACCAAAAGTCAAATGAACGTTATCAGTACATAATGATAGTAGGTCCTTCAAATACATTGGAGAAATAAGGAATGAAGAATCACTCGGGGATATGCAATCACAAAAAACATTAAAAGTCTTGATTAAAGGTATATCAGTAAATCAAGAGTATACTGCAGGATGGTATATTTACTTGTCTTTGACATTTTTATCAGCAAAGGAATTAGCAAAGTTCTAAAAATCGTTTCATCAACAGAACTTAAACTTTGTGCCAACTATTTTACCCGTTGCTGTATAGGAGAAGGAAGCATTGATAGCGTCGGTTGTAAAGGACTATTAGGTCTGTAAGTTTATATGTACTTAGAAATGCAGATTTCATGAATTTTAAAGAATTAAATCCCTCTTTATTGATAATATTCATGCTTCAAGGCTTTACTACACTGGATGTTAATTTTCCATCTTATTTTCTAATGTACTCTGATGCGATGTCTGTCATGAATATGCTGTCATCTTCAAGAATGGATACGATTCTAATTTTATGATTATATTTATCCATTACAATAATGCCTAGTCATCTGTCATATTTCAAGGCAATTAATTCAGATCTATTGCGTAGTTGTTTCAGGGCTTTGAAGTGCTGGCATTGAGAATGCATTTTTTTAACTGATTAAAAATGTCCATTAAAATTTTCAAAAGAATGGATACTGAACAAAGAGTACTCTTTTCGATAACCCCTTCATCATCAGGCTCTACAGTTATATATACATTATAGTGAATGAATGAGTTAGTGTTATGAACAACATTAATCTTGTTTAAATAACATGAAATCATTAATATTGATAGATTACAGCTCAATAGCATCAACATAAAATAAGCTGAATGTCAGAAAAATTAGGAGAGATAATATTACACATTCATGAGTTTATAGTCTCTACTGAAGGCCGGCCAGGGCAGTAGTAGCTAGCTGAACTTGCTTCTTTTGAACACAGAGCACTGGTTGTTTGAGGCGAATTGCAATAACCTCTGCTGTTTGGAGCATGCGGTGCTTCTATGATTTGGGCAATTTATTAGGCATCAGGTATATTATAGAGAAGTATCCTTCCACGCTAGCTGGCTTTGTGGCCAGTTTGCACCAGATGGTCCAATATCGAGCTGTTAATGGTTTTCACTACACCTTTACTTAGCCATGCTGGGAGATGTTCACGAGCGACCACGAGAAATCAAGTTCCTAGAGCAACGGTCAATATATCTGGCTCAACAAGCGCAGTTGAATTGATAGATACAATTTGAATTGTGGGATTGATAAGCAATATCAAATAATTTAAGCTTCAGTCAACTTTGGCTATCTGGAAACATAGAAACTAGAGGACCCAAGTGGTCATACAGACTTTAAAACTGAGCATCACTGGCTAAATCAGAATTATTATTTAACAGAATAGAGAAGTTGAATCCAAGAGATA